TTTTAAAAAAAAAAAAAAAAAAAAAAAAAAAAAAAAAAAAAAAAAAAAAAAAAAAAAAAGATGGAAACCAAATTACTAACAAGAGCTGTGCCAAGGAGGAGAGATGAGGGAGATTTCTTTCCATTGCAGTAGAATAGGTTCCTTTAGCTCCTGGGTCAGGAAGTTCTTAGGGCCTGGGTCTCTTGAGGACTCTGCAAAGGTAAGAAAAATGGAACTAGTATTTACTGAGCCTCTTCCGTGTGCAGGAGTGATGAAGGGTTTGTTCACAGGATCCATTTTAATTTAATCCTCATAGCAACTCTGAGGAAATGCTGGAGTATTTATTCTAGCAACAACCTGCACAACCAGCACTTTTTCCAGTGATAGGGGTTTTCCAGGGAGGACACAGCTGGAGCTGCTGAAGGCATTTTGTCTAGCTCTCTGCCTCAAGCCAGCGCCACCCTTAAATCTGTCTGGATACACGCACAGAGTATTTTTTATATTACCCTTTTGTACTCTTTCTTTTCCAGAGAGATTATTTTAGTCAAAAGAAAATTTTATTCACACAAATCCTCTTTTTTAAAAAAATTTTTTCAAAGATGACCAGTAAGGGGATCTTAACCCTTGACTTGGTGTTGTCAGCACCACACTCTCCCAAGTGAGCCACGGGCCTGCCCTGACAAATTCTCTTTAAAATGCTTTCTTAGAAAGAGATGGTTTTGTTCCTTTGGCATTTTCTTTACTAATCAAAATGTCCTTTTGCTCTTCTCTCCTTTCCTGTCCCTCTCCTTTCATATCCATACACACTGTCCTCAATCTTTTCAGATTTTTTCCTCTCCATACTTTAGTTCCCTCACTATCATTAGGGTTGTCCTTTTTGTTTATTACCTTTGAGGAAACATCCACACAACCTTTCTGAATATATCTCGTTACTCAACGAAAGTCCCTATTTATTCTGTCGAAGCACAAAATTGGCGTCAGGAGGGTCAAATTTAAGTCCGAGTTCTTCTAAGTTACTTTACGTCAGTGTTCTTTCCAGTAAAAAGGAGAACGCTAACGCTGCTTTGCCACCTCCATTATTATGTGGCATGAATGAAACAATGAAAGCAGAAATGAAGCCTTGTGCAAGGACGTAGTTGCTGATTCACTCTCCAGGGGTTAAAGAGGCAGAGAAGAATGAATACGGGAGCCCTGGAGTCAGTACTGGGTTTAGGTTTTGGCTCCATGTTATCTAGCCATGTGACTTTACAGAGGCTACTTAACTTCTCTGAGCCTCAATTTTCTCATCTGAGCTTCATTATCATGGGGGTGAGAGGCATGTTTTCTTCATTTGTAAAAAAAATACCTACTTCAAAAGATGATGCTCAGGAACAGAATAAGGATATCTGCTCTTGTCAGTTCTACTAAACATTGTACTGGAGATTACAGACAGGGCAATTAGGCAAGGAAAAGAAAACTTAAAAATCCAGTTTGGAAAGGAAAAAGTAAAACTACCTCTATTAGCAAATGATACAATCTTGTATGTGGAAACCCCTAAATAATCTACTAAAAAACTATTAAAGCTAACACCCAACTTCAGCGAGGTTGCAAGATACAAGAGCAATACACAAAAATCACATAATTAGCAGTGAACAGTCCAAAAATGAAATTAAAAAAATAATTTCATTTACAACAGCAGCATCAAGAATAAAATACATAGGAATAAATTTTACAGAAGAAGAGCAAGACTTGTACATAAAAACTACAAAACATTGTTGAAAGAAATTAAAGAACTAAATACATGGAAAGACATCCCACATTCATGGATGAGAAGACTTAATATTGTTAAGATGGAATACTCCTCAAACTGATCTACAGATTTAGTGCAATCCCTAACAGAATCTTGGCTGGGTTTTAGCAGAAATTGATGAGTCGATCCTCTAATTTATATGGAAATGCAAGGGACCTGGAATAGTCAAAATGATCTTGAAGAACAACAAAGCTGGAAGATCACATGTTCCAATTTCAAAACTCACTATACAGTTACAGTAATCAAGATGGTGTGATTCTGGCATAAGGATAGACATACAGCTCAATGGAATAGAATTGAGAGTCCAGAAATAAACCCAAACACTTATGGCCAATTGATTTTCAATAAAGATGCCAAGATCATTGAATGGGGTAAACATTGTCTTTCCAACAAATGGTGCTGGAACAGCCTGGTATCTACGTGCAAAAGGATGAAGTTAGACCCCTACCTTACACCATATACAAAAATGAACTTAAAGACTGAACTGATTAAAAAACCTAAATGATATAAAACTATAAAAGATATAAAACTATAAAAATCTTAAAAGAAAACATAGATGTACATTTTTGTGAGTTTGGATTAGGCAGTGGTTTCTTCGATATAACACCTGAAGCACAAGCAACCAAGGAAAAGAATAAATAAATTGGACTTCATCAAAATTTACAGCTATTGTGCTTCAAAGGACACCTTCAAGAAAGTGAAAAGACATCCCACAGATTGAGAGAAAATATTTGCAAATCATAATCTGATAAGGTTCTAGTATCCAAAATATATTAAGAACTCCTACAACTCAACAATAAAAAAGCCAAATTACCCAATTTTTAAAATGGGAAAAGGATTTGAATAGGTATTTCTTCCAAGAAGATATACAAATGGCCAACTAATACATGAAAAGATGCTCAATATCATTAGTGATTAGGAGAATGACAATCAAAATGACAACAAGATGCAAATTCACATCCAGTAGGATGGCTATAATAAAAAAGATGAACAAGTATTTGTGAGCATGTGGAAAAATTTGGAACCCTCATATATTGTTGGTGAAAATGTAAAACGATGCAGCTGTTTCAGAAAATAGCCTGGCAATTCCTCAAATGGTTAAGCACAGTACCATATACTCTATAATTCCACTCCTAATATACACAAGAAAATTGAAAACAAATATTCATACAAAAACGTATACCCAAATGTTCATAGCAGTGTAATAGCCCAAAAGTGGAAACAACCTAAATGTCCATCAAATGATGAAAGTATAAATAAAATGTATATGTCCATACAATGAAATAGCATACATCCATAAGAAGGAATGGTGTACTGATAATTGCTACAATGTGGATGAACCTTGAAAACATTATGTTAATTGAAAGAAGCCAGACACAAAAGACTGGCTTCTGTTTGTATATGTATGATTCCTTTTATATAAAATGTTCAGAATAGGCAAATCCATAGAGACATGAGGTAGATTAGAAGTTGCTGGGGCTGGGAAGAGGGAGAAATTGAGAGTGACTGCTAATGGGCACAGGGTTTCTCTCTGGGGTGATGAAACTTTTTTAGAATTAGTGATGATGGTTGCACAATCTAGTGAATATACTAAAAACCACTGAGATGTACACTTTAAATGGATAAATTTTATGTTATAAAATTATATTAATAAAAAAAGATAGTGCTGAGAATTCAATGCACTAACAATGACTGCATATTGCAGGTGATTAATTAATTAGTTGTCCCCCCTTTCTATCTTTCCAGTATCTCCACTTTTTATATCACCCATCTGCCCAAACAATAATAGTTATTGTGCTCCAGTTGCCCACCAACAACTTTGGGGACTGGGGGTACAGTGGTGAGTGAAAAAGTCTAAATTGGAGCTTACAGTCTGGTAAGGGAGACAATCATGCAATACAGAATTACATGCTGGTAAATGATATGAACAAAAAAATGCAAGCTTTCTTGAGAGTGAAGGGAATTATCCTAAAAACAAGGCTTGGGTGTAAACATGTACTGTTCTCTCTTTCATGCAGAAGAAGTCTGAAGCAGCAGAAGGGTCGGTGAGTAATTCCACTGGAGGGTGGTCTGCGTGCTTTTAAAAGGGCTGGGGCCTCTTCTTGAATTCTCAGGTGAATAACTCATGGGCTGTAGGAGCTGCAATGAGATCTGGGGAGAGAGGAACAACAATACACAGGGGCAGGAGCTATCTGGCATCCGAGACCTTCACTGGGAAGCAAACAGGAAGCCTTCAGTGTTACTTAGTGTGTCTTGAGAAGTGCAAAAAGAACAGGGAGAGAAGAAATAATTTAAAACAGGCAAATGTTTAGTTTCATAGACATCTTTTCGTGTAGCCTGGCAAATGAGAACAGACTGTGTTTAGAAGTCATTATTATCATTAGGACTTTTATTTTCAGAAAGAATTTTAGGCGATTTGTAAGAAACATACTAGAAAACCTAATAGAAAATAAAAGTCATAGAGAGAAAAACAAATATTCACAAAAGCTAGGCTAATAGAATTACTGTATTGAGTATTAAATTTAGCTCTATGCTTCCTGATAGCCAAAGCAAAAAGAAAACAGTGAATTAACCAGTTTTAAAGTCTGCCATTTAAATAGCTGCCGTTTAATGAGGACCTATGGCAGGCCAGATGCTTTGTGTGGGCTAGAGGGTTTATTTCCATTTAAACTATTTTTATTTTTTGCAAAATACCTTCCAATCCTTGACCACATATACTTTTCCAAATAGTTATAAATAGCATTGTCACCTCTCCCACTCTCCTTATCACAGCATGATTCTCTAACTTCAATGTCATACAATCATCTGGGGATCTTGTTAGAATGCAGATTCTGATTCAGTTGGTGGAGTATAACTTTTTTCTCATAGTTTTGCAATGTTCATTATTAAAGTTTTAAAAGCCATAAATTACACAGCACTGGTGTACCATGATTTCTTAAACTGGACGTTAGTTATTAGACATTTAGGGTTGCTGTCATAGATAACTTTTTGCTTCTGTTGATAAATTCCTGAGTGGAATTACTGAATCAAAAAGCAACCACACACCTCTATGTCTGCTTTTTCTTTTCTTTTCTTTTTTTTTGTACTACATTTTAAAAGACCTATGTTTTTCCTTGAGGGACAGTACATCCTATCTTACACATGAATGAGGAAATTCACATGTCTGAGTAGAACTGAAGTCAAAATGTGAGCATACACGGGGAAGTGTTTCTTTTTATGTTGGCTTTAAAAAATGTCAGTCTTATAATCTTGCAATCTTTCGTCATTTTGTTTTTCTTATAACACAGGTTATCTACTTCCCAGACAATGGAAGATTAGGGAATCTAACTCTTCAGAGATAAAAACTTGTTTCTTCCAAGCTTCCTCGTCCCTGGCTACTATAGGCCTGAAGTCTTTTATTATAGGATCAAAACCTGACAGTCTCCCGAGACAAGACCTACTCCTTCAGGTGAAGCAGAACTGCAGTGACCCACATCAAAGATATTCAGAGGCAAAGTGGTGTGGAGAGAGCTCACCGCACCGACTGGATCTCAAGTTCTCTCCCTGGTCCCTCACACCACCAAATCACTTTACTTTCTTGGAGACTCTCCTCTGTAAAATGGAAGGGCCGGATGAGTCCATCCCTAGGTGCTTCCCAGGTTTGTCTCTGATAGCGCAGTTAATGGAGTATACACTCCTTTGGAAGCACATGCACAGAAACACCCAACCAGCTACACAAGGGCTACTGAGATTAAGGTGACTGGAAGCATGCTGGATCATTTCAGGTTGAGGCTGAGGGGGTCTTTTGCTTTCCCCTTCTCATATTTTGTTTTTTTATTGCTGCTCAGATGGGGTAAGGAATGGAAAGGTCACCAGAACCTGAATCCTTTAGCATCTACCAGGAAGTCTTATAAAGATTGGGTGAACATAGGATCTAAAAACTCCTGAGACTAATTTGACTTTTTTCTCCCTGGGAACCAAAATTCACATTTCTTCATAGTGCCCACACTGACTTGACCAGAACTGACTACCAGCTTCAGAAATTTGTTACTTGTGTTCAGGTAATTTGTTAGAAGAATAGATGACAATTCTTGTCAAAAACTTTGTATTTGGCTTACTAAATGCCAGCCCCCAGAGGACAACTCGATTTAGGTAATACTTCACTGTACGTAGCAAATGCCAAGATGAGGATAGGTTTTATAGGCTGTTCCCCGAGTGAAGCATGGTGCACAGAAACAGGGTTTTGTTGATTATCTGCAGTGAATGATCCTGAGGAATAGTGTTTTTGTTGTCTTTGTCCATTTACTCAGTAAAGAAACTATCTGAGTGTGCTGTTCTCTCACAGGTGGAAAGAGGATAAACGCTGAACAAAACCATAATGAACCTTGTTGCTTGATCAAGCAGCAATCCGTGACATGGGGAAGTTTTCTTATTCTTGGCTGTCAGGCATTTCTTTGACCAGCGCACTCTGACAACCAGCCTAGTGTGCTGTTTCCTCTTCAATTCAGATAGGCTAGGAATGAGTATCCTACTGTTGTCTCAGTTAAATTACTGATGATGGGAACTATTATAATAGGATTTGACTTTGTCACTACGTCCACAGAAGTCAGTTTACAAGAATGATCACATTCATATTCTTTTGCCGATAAAATTATTTAGGTCATAGTCAGGCACCTACTTTATGCAAGCTTGATGAATGACAGAATTTGATAAGTTCTGTAGCTTAGTGACTTTTCTAACTATATTTGTTCATTTGTTTCTCGTACTTACTTTTTAGAGGTACAAGAAAATTTTCTAAAAGCCTCTCTACCCTCAAAATATTTCTCACTGAAATGGCATATATGGTGGTCCACAGAAGCTACTGGGAGGCTTAAGGTGCATCTGCCTACAGCCCATACATTGCTCTTAGAACAGTGAGTCAGCAAAGCAGGAGTTGATGTTTACCAATGACCAGTGCTTTTATCTTCAAGGAAACTCAATTCAATCTCTCTAATAATAATAATCATTTTGGTTCAGATACATAGTTATCAGCCCTTTTCAAGTCGCTTTCCCTCAAATCTCATTCATCTTTGAAAGTACATAGAATAAAAAATCAATAAAATCACCAGTCCTCTTACCAGGTTGCCTTGTTTCTCACTTTTGGCTTGCCTCTGTCTTGGGCTGGGATGTAGAGATGATGATGGTGCCCAAGCTTCAATGACAATGACTAGCCCCAAGCAGATGTTGAGAGGAAAGACCAGTAATTAATTTATAGCTGAAATGTGAATTTGAAGGATATCCTAAATGCTTTCATTATCTTACAATCCTGTATGAGTTACCTATTGCTGCATGACAAATTACTCCAGAACTCAGTGGCTTAATTAAAACACTTATCTGTTTCTGTGGGTTAGGAATCCCAGCAAGATTTAGCTAAGTGTCTTTGCTTGTGTTTCTCACGAAGCTGCAATTGGGTTGGATCCTCTTCCAAACTCAGTGTGTTAGCAGGATTGTTTATCACAGGTTGTTGGAGCTGAGGGTGTGTTTTTTGATGGCTGTTAAGCGCTTCTCAACAGGGCTACTCACACGGCAGCTTGCTTCCCCAGAGCAGGAGTTCCAAAAGAAAGCAGGACAGAACAAGAGAGGGTGCGGACAGAAGCCACAGCCCTCTTATAACCCTATCTCAGAGGCGACATCCCATCACTTGTGCCCTATTCTGTTAAACAAAGTCCAGCCCACACTCAAGGCAAGCAGATCACACAAGTGCATGAATACCAGAAGGTGGGAATCATTGAGGCCCTTCTAAAAGTTGTTTTCCAGTTGTATTCGTAACTAATTTTATGCTGCAATGGGCATTTATCAGAATGTTTTACTGTAACAAAGATTAGATTCTGGAAGCCTTACATGCCAATGGACACATTTGTTTTCTAATAAAAGATTGATGAAGATGAAAGCAGAAGAGCTCCAACCCTGAAAATGCATCTCACTGTTATCTGAGGATTTATAGTTAGAGTCCATTAAATACATTTTCAACATCAACCTCACTCTCCTCTATACCTAGTGAATCCAAAGCAAACAATGCAAACAATGGTGTCTTAGTGTCACAACTGAGAACAGCTCAAATTGCAGGCAGCTGATTCACTTCTGTACAGTCCAGTTCTGCCATCTGGAGGGCAAGACATTACTATATTAAAATGGGCAAAAATTAGACATCTGTATTAATAAAAGGGAGATTATGATGAAAAATGAACATGGGAGGATATAAATCAAATTGAACATCTGTGTATCAGAAACGCTCCTCTCATTACAAGGAATCGGTGCAGTCTATAAACACAACTAGGAAATAAATTTAATTCCTAGCTCAAAATTTCTAAACACTTATAATCTCAAATTTTGGTTTTCTTGGTGTCTGATCAGTAATGGGATCTGAACCCTTGGCCTTGGTGTTATAATGCTGTGCTCTAAACAACTGAGCTTACTGGCCAGCCCCAATTTTCTGGGACTTTAATTGGGACACTTCTCTTATTATGAGGACTTGGTGTAGATTAGTATTTCTGCAAGGACTTAAAGGTAAGTGCATATCATGTATAGTTTTTTAACTCCAACTTTAAAAAATATCTTCAGTGACACAAAAACAAACCTCAGTAGGCCTCAGAGTTTATAGCCACCTTTATTAATATTCCAGATTGTGAAAAGAGCTTTGTTACCAATGGCTTGCTAAGTCCCGAGGAACTGACTATTCAAACTTCTCTGGAGTCATTAAGGCCTTCTTTTTAAGCAAACTTAAGTTCAGATTCTACTATCAGTAAATCACCAATTTTCTGTGATAGTTGTCTAATAGGAAAGCATTTTCCTCTTAAGGCTGAACTGGAAGACTCTATAGTCTTCAAAAGAATGGGCAGTAAAAAAGTTCCTTTACAACCTGGGCCTGCTCTGGAGCAACTAAATTGTTTCCTGGTGGACACTCAGGGCCCAGCAAATTAAGAATTAAAGGTGGGGCTGTAACTCTACCTGTTTGTTGGTTCCTTTGAGATAGCTACAAGCTCTCCTACAACAGCCCTAAGATTTCCCCAAACCCTGGGAATTCTAGGGCCATTCATTTAACACAATGCGTAGAGGGTCTGCCTAGGTTAGTCAGAATGGTAAATATATTGGTTTGATGACTTCCAATAGGTTACATTCCGGTCAACACTTCAAAAACACTACACGTCTTAAGTATTGTACAACTAAAACAAGTTAATTAGAACACTTTATGTGATTCAGGGGCAGGTAGAGAAGGGCTTTCTGTGAATAATACAAAAAAATACTGCAAATAAAAATGAAAAGCAAATTTAAAACTGGGCAAGTATATAAGAGCACTTTAAAAAGTTCATGAAAACATATTATCTTTCAAATCTATTTCCCCATGAATTTTTTGACATACCCCCATATAAAGCAAAAATGACAAAAATTAATTACCCTTTAATATATTAACGAGTCCTGACCAACTAACTCATCAAATAAGGAAGAAAGCCAAAAGAAAGGTGGCTAATTTAGGCAAATAACCAAAAAAAGGGAAAAGGCCAATGAAACACATGAAACAAGTTTTTGACCTCAGAAGTAATATGCAAATTAAAACAAGATATTCCCTCTTCGGGGGCAAACTAGCTATTAGGAATAAAATGTAAAAAAAAAATACAATAGGCCTATTCTAACACTGCTGGTACACAGGAAAACAGTCTAACTGTTCTCTAGATAAGTTAGGCAATATTTATTTAAAAGCCTCAAAAATACGCTTTGTCCCAGCCGTGCTAAGAATTTAACCTAAGGAGTAAATCTGACGAGCGTATGAAAGTCTGCGTGTAACAGTGTCCATCATGCAAGTGCCTTATTAAGAGTTTACATCTCCAAGTCTTCTGCATTTTGCACATACTGCATTTGTAATCTGAGGGAAAAAAGCCGACCAAACAACCCCCCCACCCAAATGTTATGGGAAAATGGTATTGGTAGATGTAGGGAATAACAATTTTCCAAAATGTACTTTTGTTAATTTCACCCCACCCCCAATTTAAAGCTAGAAGCAAAACTACAAATCCCCCAAGATGGCAAGTGTTCAAGTTACACAGTTTCATTGAATATTTAAGACCAAAAAGCATACTCAACCAATCCTTTTCTCCAACTGGTTGGGTCAGACCAACTTGGGAAACAAATGAACAGAAATTTTCTAGAAACATGTAGGCTATTAAATAATTTGTTTATTGTACTGCATTTACAAAGAAAACAGACAATGCACTCAGTAGAAAGAATAAAAATGTATTCAGGTTTTATTTTTAACTGACAGCAAATAGAAATCCTTTAGTGAGATCATGGCAATTTGACAATATTATGATTAAGCTCAATAAAAGTATGTGGGGTACTTGGAAGATCAAGTTCTACAGCTGCCTCTTTCCACATCTTCTAATTTATCTGGCTCCTTAAATGACAGGGGGAAAAGCCCTTATTTGGTGGGGAAACATCTCCAAAATGAAGTTTTAGGTTCTCTCTCCTATTAAAATTTCCTGTCAATTGTTATAACAGGCCCTTCTGTTTGTGTTTTTTGGTTATTTCATCTTAACATCACCACAATTCCTGTAATTCCACAATTGTGATTTTACAACGTAGAACAGAATTAGTTCTAGTCTATTGCTTTAGATGTAAATACAGTTGAAAACCCATAGTGGATTAGAATTGCTGAAGGATCTCCCTGCCGTTGTTTGACACAATCTATTTTCTTTACTCTTGATAGGTGCACAGTGCATAGCTGACTTAAAATTCTTTCTACAGGAACATGTCTGACTTCGGGAGTACCCAATCAAGGATCCGATGAATAGCTGGCCAGTTACTCGGAACACTGTGTATATGAGTTAAATGGACTGCATAACGGCCCCACTTTTCCTTTATCATTGTTGGTGGATAAATGATAGAAACTAGATTACAATCTTCATATAGAGAGGTGGCTACCCAACAGTCTCATTGATACTTTGCTAGTAGAACTTCAAGTTGCACCTCCTTGGCTTTCTGTAAATTAGAGTCCTGTAGCCGCTTCTGGAAAATGCTATAATATCCAAGGCCCACTTGGTCCATGCTGAACAAGCAACTGTGACCCCGATTCTGCCCCTCTTTTGCTTTTCAACATTACCCAAGGAATACGTAATGTCTATGGCAAGTCTAGGAGAAGCCCATCCTAAAATAAAATTTGCAAAGCCGTTACTAATTAAAGAAAAAGAAAAGAGCCTCAAGTACATCTCAAAATTGCAGTTAAAAACTTACATTATACAAGGAAATAGCAGCAGAGAATGGCTAATCTTAAAAACAAAAAAAAAGAAAAATGTACCTTCCTACCTCTCCCCTTGGTTCTTTTATTTGGGGTTTCATTAAAGACCCCAAGCCTCTGAGAAAATAAGAAAGGAAAAGCCTCAGAAGGAAACTGCTTCAAGACTAGAATTTTGGGCAAGGTAAAGAAAAATCTGTAAATAAAAGCAGGGACTGTTTGGAAAAGAATCAGAACTCTAGGACATTTTTCTTCTTAGATGGGAAAACTCCAAAACCCAGATCTCCTTTCTAGAGTCATCCTGATTCTTTAGTTATGGGGTAGTAAACTCAAGTACAAAGAGTAAAGTGCCAGCCAGGGATTAAAAGAACAAAAACTAAAACAAAACAACCAATCAAAATAACTCTGCTCTTAGGGTAACAGAAGACACACAGAAAAGAACTGTTTGCAGAACTGAGGTTCTCAACAAATTACTATTCAATGGTTCCGTTTTTGTTTACATTAAAAATCACACTGAAGATTCAAAGATCTTAAGATTCATTAAAAAGAATTTTACGTGCTTTGAACAGTGATAAAATGGTACCCAAATTTGGTGTTTATACAGCTCATTTAAAAAGATAGTAGCTTAGAAGTCATAGGAACAAATGTGAACATAGAGAACAGAAATAATCTAGGAAGATGATGCAGCCTGGATACAGCAAGTTTAATGTCTCTGCTGTACACAGAATTAACACCCTTTCCCCTCCTCATCCTTATGCTGGCAATAGGATATGCACTAGAAAATGTGACTCTTAGAGTCAATGAATAAAAGGATGGGCTCATACATCTTCATAGCTCGTTTTAAAAAGGATGGTTATAGTTTAAAGAGTGTCCTAATGGAAAGACAAGAGTACAGGGTGAGAGGCTGTTTCACATTTTAGTTCATTAGTCTTTGGCAGAGCCCAACCAAGGCCAAATTCACCTAGGATGCCCAAAGGCTGTGGGAATCTCCACAGGGTCAAGTAAGCAAACCCAAATGAACATGTTGGAGTTAAAAAAAAAAAAAAAAAAAAAAAAAAAAAAAAAAAAAAAAAAAAAATTCCTGAAATCCTTGAAGGAAGAGCTTCACCCTGAAAAGGGAAGAGGGAAAAGCTTGGAGGGGAGGGGTGGATGGTCAGTGTGTGATCTCTGCTGCGGTGCTGGGTACAGGCTTAGGAGTTGAGCCAAGGATGCCGGAGACACTCAGCGGCAGTGGCTCTCTTCTCAGGGATCAGCTCCAACATAGGCAGTAAGAAATCCGTGAATCCAGCTGCCTCCTCCTGAGACCACTCATACTTCTCCACTAGAACCTCAAAAAGGCCCCAGGGTTTCAGCTTCGTGATGTGTTTCAGGTCACCTGCAGTGAAGACAGTACAAAAGAAACTGACCTACAATAACAAGTGACAAGATCCTCTTGTGGAAATCCAGGAACTAATCCAGGGAGTCTACAAAGAATCAAATTTTGCAATCAGAATCTAATCCTCCATTCACAAAGCACTTCTTTCCTAACGTATTCCTCAAAAAGAAGTACCTCTTTTTCATATGGGCCTAAAAATTTTAAATAATTTATTTTCTCTCCTATTCCAAGATTTTTTGGTCCAGTCAAACTGGGTATACTTATCAGGAACTAAATATTATAATATTCACTGAAATGAATATTA